CAGATCCCCAAATGTCCATTAACTGACACTCGTGGAGAGCAAGAGCTGTGGACTGGCCCTGGGGGCACCTCCCCACGGGGCTCCTGCTTGTACTCAGAGAGCGAGAAGGAAGGGAAGCCACAGAAGTGGGGTCCACTGCGTGACCAAAGGCAGGGGGTGTCTGCTGCTCTCCTCTGAAAGGAGCGTGTGGGGCTTGGGGCTGGAGGGTTGTGGCCCTCAGTCCCCAGAGGCCAGTATGACCTCCAGCTCCTATGAGCACAAGTGGCTGCTGGTGCAGAAGGACGCGACTACGTTTTGGTCTCGGGGGAAGAAGGCCCCACGAACACGGGACTGTGGTTTCAACACGCTGCTTCCCTTTTCTGCACCCTGCAAGGACTTCCAGATGTCACCTCCATCCCATAAAAATGCGGCGGTGTCTGTTTCTAGTCTAGCCTCCTGGCTGAGCACTCCATCACACTTCTCGCTGCCTTCATCTCTGCCACACCACGACCCGCGCCGATAGGCCTGCTAATGAGGGGCAAGCCTGCCTCCCCACGGGGAACGTCGCCATCTCAACAGCAGGCACCCAGAGACCAGCACCTGCTGCCTGTCTCCACTTTCTCTCCTGGACCTGGGGATGGAAACTCCAGCCAGCACCAGGGAAGCCAGGGCTGCAGATGCCTGGGTCGTGTCCCAAAGGCCCCCCAAGACCCCAGTGGGTGCCCAAAACCACCAGCAGCCCTGCACCCTGCACGCTAGGTTTCCCCCCATCTATACATCCCTCTGATTACATTTAATTCATAAATTAGGCACAGCAACAGAATAACAACAACTAACACTAAAATAGGATGACAGTAATGCTAAACCGTAACAGCAGCACCTTGAGTGTGGCTTCTCGCTCTCCAATACCGTGAGGCACAGCCCGTGTCTGGACCAGGCTGTCTGTGGAGCAGGGACATGGAAAGTGAAACCTGGAGCCAGGGCCTGCTGCATGCGGGCTGCCCTCACTTAGCTGAAGATGGGAAACACTACCCATCTCTCCAGAGATGTGGTGTTAGCTCCCAAGAAACAAAGGTGCCAGAGCCAAGGGGCAGCCAGCCCTATCAGCCAGGTGCTGGGGACACACGTATACTTGTCCAATGTCTGTCTGTGGAACCGAGGGGGTCCACTGCAGCACGAGTTCGATCCCTGGTCAGGGAGCTGACCCACACAGCGCAGCAGACCTCTCCTATCTCCCCGCTGCTCCCCTCAGCAGTGCATTTCAGTGAATCCACCTGTTCTGCTCCCCACTTGGTCTCTGGTGAATCCTCTCACCCCAGCACCTCTGGCCCGTACCCCAGCTCTTGTATGCATAAATTAAATAAATCTTAAAAAAAAATTGAGCATTAGGCAGATGTCCATTTCAAACTGAGTGTTAAGGTCATACAAGCTCCTTAAACCCTGATTTGGGGCAGGGGAAGTGCCTGGGGGAGAAAACCCCCTGGGGATGACCAGCTGAGAATCTCTAAGGAGAATTATGGAGGGTCGCTGTGGACTTGGCCCAGTTTCCCTTTTCAAAAGGAGTATATTATGCCTTTCACATTTTAATACAGAAAAAAAAAAAGGGAGACTTGTGCCATCAGCTCGATTGCCTCATAATTCTAAACTGAACTTTGGTCGGCTGGTCTCACTGAAAGCAGACACTTTTGGGGAACAGCAACAAAAAAGAATCGGGAGGCAAATATTGATCTGTCGCTAAGTGAACAGAAGGCATCGCCCCATGGAAGTAAAGTTCCCTCCACATGTCAGGAAGTCATTCCTGGTGTATCTTTGTGCAGATCAAGGCGACACAGGCTTAAGTACTGATGTCAATACAGGGATGGGGTCGCAGTCCTCAAGCAGCCTCCATGCTCCCCTTTCATCTCCTTTGTCCCGCCGGTCGCAGTGGGGTCTGTCCTGGCCGGCTGCCCAGGTAGGGTTCCTGAGTAACACCGTTGCTGGTTGTTGAGTCCCTGAACTGGACATTCTAGCCTAGACAACTGTTTATGAAGGCGAGAAGCACTTTCACCCCCCCCCCCCCCCAGACAAGGCTCCTGCCCTCGGCTTCAACTCCACGGGAGGCTGTTACAGAAACACAGCAGAGAAAGCATCACAGGCGGTGGCTTCCCAGGCGATTAAAATAGAAAGAGGTCATCGGGGAGCTGATGGCACAGTCCTGCTGAGGGGCTGGCCATGACCGCAGGTCTGCACTCTCTCCCTGCACCTTCAGGAGTCTCTGTCCACCCCTTGACAAGAAGCTCTGGAGCCTCAGACTCAGGCTGCATTTCCCTCCATGCAACTCCCTGTTTCCTCATCCTTAAAACGAGGGGGGAAATGAACCTGACCTCGGGGTTGTCCAGGGGATTACCTGGTACTGTGTCGAGGAGATACTGAGCAAATTTTTTTTTTAAAAAGATTTACTTATTTATTTATACAAGCACTGGGTACAGTCAGAAGCGCGGGAGGGTAAGAGAATTCACCAGAGCCAGAGCGGGGAGCAGAGCAGGCAGAAGGACCAAAGTACACTGCTGAGGGGAGCAGCGGGCGGCAGGAGAGGTCTGCGCGCCATGTGGGACCCTCCTCCGGTGGCCGGGGAGCAGCCAGGGATCGAACTGGCACCGCAGAGGCCGTGAGCAGCTTCGCAACCCGGCACTCAACCGCTGCGCCACCGGGGAGGCCCGATACTGAACAAATTTAAAACGCAGTAACGAAGACAAAAGGGTAATTTCAAACACTTCGACGGAACGCTGCAAGAGCGTGGGATGTTGGGTCATTCCTAAAACTACAATCAAAATTAGAGTCAAAGTAAAAATTAAGAGTTAAAACATTGGAGGGGAAAAAAAGGCAAATCTTTCTGCCCTTTCATCATTTGTCAAGTTCAAGTCACAGGGCTAGGAATTTAGCTGCTGAAGCCAAGTTGCAACATGCTTGAAGGGACTGGAGGGGCTTTCGAAGGCACAGGTCTTGGAGGGAATGGTTTCTGGGGAACTTATCCCTTCATATCACCTTCAAACAGGCCAAGTCCTGAACCCCACGGCTCTGCCTTGCCCCTAAGCTAACCTCCCTGCCTCCCTGCTCCGGGCTTCCCCGGGAGAGAACAGGGCAGCTGGCTAAAGGTGGGGGATGCTGGGAGGGGCAGAGACACCAGGTCCAAGGAGACCTGGTGACCAGGGACGCATGTCCATGGAGGTGACAGGGGACCCAGTCAGCACCAGGGCAGCTTCCTGGAGAAAAAGCGCAGCAAGGGGGACGAGCGACGAGAACCCGTGGGGCTTAGTATCTCTGCACTATTTTTTTTGGCAAGGAATACAAGAAAGCGGTAAAAAAAAAAAAAAAATCTGCCTTTGACAGCTTCCTTTTTTCTTATGCTTTGAGCCATTAGTATGGCATCAAACCCTCTGTGATATTTTCTGGAGACTGGACCATAGCAGCTTTCCTGGGGCGTCCTCCCATTACTCGGGGCCAGTGCTGGCTGGGAATCTGCTCACTGCATCGAATCTTGTAGGGTTTTTAATACCCTTGGTTTTCAGATGCTCTCTAGAAATGAGAGGGCTGAGGGAGGGGGTCTAGCCGGGTGCCCTCAAGCTGGAGGTGGGTGCAAAGTTGACTTGCCAGTCTGGACTGGCCAGTCATCTAGATGTATTGAAGAAAAATGCTGGGCAATTTGGAAAACGTACATCAGGAGCATGGGCACTCCCCTCAGAGAGGAGATGGCTCCCAGCCCACTCTGCTTGAGAAGAGTGTCCGGCCTTGTCCTCAGGTCCCTGGGCAGAGCCCCAGCAGGGGCCAAGGCGGGTGCCCCCAGCACCAGGCAGCACTGCAGGCTGACATGTCTCTCCCAAATTGATAGCAAGTTTTCTGGGGTCACGGCTTCCCTGTTACAACTATGAGAAAGCTGCAATAAATCACCCCCCACCGCCAAGCCCACAGCAGCAGCTCTGCACCTTGGGCTCTCTGCAGCCAAAAGTGAACAGACAACCAAAGAGCACCAGCAAGCACCTGAGCCCCCCACCCACGCGCAGCCATTTGCTCGTTGTTGTTGGAGACTCGCTTGCCCAATGCGACTGACCCCAGAGGGGCGAGGAGGCACCCCTACCCCAGGGGAGGCCCCACTACCCCACACTGAATGTTAGCGCAGAGGCTTTAAGCCGAGTTATTCAGAAGACATCAACAGGGAAAATCTGGCAACGCATCTCTTGAAAACAAGAGACGTAGATTCCCTTCATCAGCGCGGGCTTCTCTTAGCTGTGATCAGCACACTTCTCAGTGTAGTGGGCAGAAGGGCCAGCGAGGACACTGTGCATGCTGCTTACTAATGGCCTTGGCTGAGGGTGGACTCTGCCCCACAACCGACAACAGAGCATTTTTGTTCCATAATGTTCAGTCAGAAACTGCACTGAGCCAATTCTCTGCTATGCTCCTTAGTTTACAGTGGAATGTGGATTCCAGAAAGGCCCTTTCTTGGGCTGGGAGTTTGCAGAGAACACAATGGTCAACCATTGTCTGCAGGGTGGTGAGGCCTGGGGGGTTGTCTAAGTAGGTGGGGGGCACAGCTGTGCTAGCCCTGGCGTGAAGTGAATGTGGGTTCTGGCCTAGACGGGCGTGGGTTCTCAGAGAAGGAGCCACAGCGCCACCAGCATCTTCCTCATGCGTCACCACGTCTATGACCTGGAACCCCTCACCACTGTTAACCCTTGTGTGCAGATTCCTTCTCTGCAGCCGTGAGACTAAGCAGACCCCCAGCAAGCACTGAGGGGACTCGTCATCTAAACGTGCCCTGGGGACTCAGAACCAGAGCCTGTTGGTTAAGAAACTGCCTGGTAGGTCATGCTTCCCAGAGCTTTTTCCTTAGATGCCAGACCTGACAAGGCCGTGGCCACGTCGACCCCGATGACCCTGTATTACGCGGAAGCGCGCAGACACCACGCGAGGAGGGCCCACTCCGAACCCCCCAGCGCAACAGGCCCGCAGGCTGGGCTGCAGTGGGCCCCTGGTGCACTCACTCTTTGGTCAGAAGAGGACAGGACTTGAGCAGAAAGCGTGAGAGCCCCGAGTCCTGGAAGTAGAGGTCAGGCGGGGCCGTGGGGCTCTTCAGGTTCAAGCACCGGACGATCACGTAGAGGGCAGCGGCCACGGCTGCCAGCTTCACCCCGTCAAACACGGCCGGCAGCTCGGGGGTCTCCAGCATGGCGTTCATCTTGATCTGGGGAGCAGAGGCACAGGTCAGGGTTCAGAAGCCCAGTGAGAAGGGGTGGACCCTACCACCCGAGAGACAGCCTGAGAGGACGTCACCCGCAGGCTGTGTCCAGGCAGGTTCCCACAGCGCCTTGTGGCGGCTGAACTAACAAGAGCCCAAACCTCAAGCACACAGTCCTGACATTGATCCTGACACCGATCCTGACACCGAGTCCTGAGCACACAGAAAACCAGTTACAAGGTGTGTCGTTTCCTTTCTTTTTTTAACTGGATGGACATTTCTAAAGATAAGTCAACTGGAAAACGCTAAGAGTGTCCTTTCAAGAGTGGGAGAGAGTCCAGTCTGAAAAGGCAGGCCCAGCACGACGTCAAGCCGTGGGCAGCCGCACTCAGTCTGCACCTGGTGCTGCTGGTGTCCCGGGGCGTGGCTGTGCTCGGCAGGGCTATTTGCACAACTCGAGGAGATAAAGCAGCCTGATCTCACTGGACCATCTGCTCTGCGGGAGGCAGCCCCCAGGGGCCAGAGACAAGTTCAGACACAGCCTAGGCGGAGGGTATTGTTCTTGGGAGTGTCAGGCAGGGTGACATGGAGCTTGGCCAACCCTCTCCACCCCCGTCTCTGCTGAAGGCAGCTGGTTAGTCCAAAATCAGGCTAGAAGTGGACCAATTTCAACCCTAGGCCAAATTAAGAACTGGACTATGAAAAACGTGGCTTTACCCAAGCTCTCCTAGTAACCCACCTTTTAAGGCAGCTTTACCTACTTACAGCACAGGTGCACACGAGTGTACACACACGCACGTGCACACACGCACATGCACCCCTCCAAACACATACAACCAAAAGTCAACAGCAACAAAAATTCAGCCTTTTCCTTGCTGCTCTGCAAAAAAGCAGAACATCTGCTGTTACCTTAAAAATCAGGAAACCACAAGCAAACAGAAAGGAGAGAATGGTAACTCTCAGCCAAGGTAGCTATGGCAACAGCTTCCCGGGAAGGGTTTCCAGTAGCCTTTGCTAAAAACAGCCAGCATGAGGCTGCTGTGGCCAATGGTGCAGGCAACCAGGCAGGACAAGAAAGATCTGTGGAAATCGTGCCAGTGAACGAACTCTCGGGGCCTGGGGCTGGGCCAGAGAGGGCTCAGGAACCCTTTTCTACAATCAAGGTGACTTTGGCAAATACGGGAACAAAACGCACAGCAGACAGTGCCTGGGCAGGGGTCCCAGCTCAGTGAGGAAAGGCAAGAGCTCACACCCCCGACCAGCCTGCCAGCATTCAAAATAAAGTCAAGGAACACATCTAGCCCAGAATATTCTTCCAGCTGCATCAACCTTTGAACTTCTTCATGTGTTCACAGTTCCCTTAAAACTAAACTTTAGGGCCATGTCCCCTCACTCCTAGGGCCATGTCCCCTCAAGCTGGCCCCATAACAAGGTTTCTTCACTAGGGACCCCCGAGGGGTACTGGGCTCCAGGACCCCCCGAGATGCTAGACAGAAGTCTGTGTGTACCTACAGCTTTCTGGGGGCGAGGGGTGGAATTTCATCAGACTCCAAGGGGTTCTGGGGCCAGAGAAGGATGGGTTCAGCTTGGGGCTCTCGATCCTCTCCTTAGCCAGCCCTGCTGCCAGTGCCAAGCAAACCCACGAGAATACCCAGGTGAGCAGCCTCATCACGAGGCTGTTAGGACTTGTGAGGGAAGCGCCAAACACACGGTCTGGCAGGAATTCCAGGGTTTCTCTGACAAGATGCTGGTGACCTGGAACCAAGACCCAGGTCGCCCTGTCTCTGTGCCCAGTTTCCTTGCTGGTCTAGAGGAAGCCCACTGCACTAGAAAGATTAAGTCAGTCACCCCCTTGGCTATCCCTCCTGCTCACCAGGGGACTCAAGGTGGAAGGCCACACGCACCTGTGTCACCTGTTCCTCTACTGCAAAAATGACTTCCCTCGACGAGGCGGCTGTGCAGCCGGCCGGACAGCTTGGGTCTCTTACTCAGATTAACCTAAAAGCTGAAAAAGAAGACACGGTTTAAAGGACGAGAAAGGGCACTATCTAAGCTTCTCTGCATTTAAAGTCTTCAGGTGAGAGGCAGGCTCTGGCATTAGCCTGAGCCCCCACACTCTGGGAAGCGGATGGAGCCCGCCGGGAAGTGAGGGGCTGCAGGCTGCGGGCCGGTGTGGGTCTCCGGTCATGCCCTGGCTGTGTTCAGAGCCGTGGCCAAAGCCTAAGCACGCAGCTGATCCTTTACTTCGGAAGGCACTTTCATTTATTTATTTTTTTTTTGTAGGACCCTCGCCGGCGGCTGGGGACTGAACCGGCACTGCAGAGGCTGAGGGCAGCCTCGCAGCCCAGCGCTCAACTGCTGCGCCACCAGGGGAGGCCCTGGAAGGCACTCTTTAGAAGCCCCCAACAGGCATGTCCCCCCAACCCAAGTAACCAACGAAATGGCTGAGCGGCCTTTGACTCCCGCCTCTCTCCTGAACACACCACAGTGGCAGAAGCAAGAAGCCACCAAAGGAAAAGGGCACAGATGGACCCACACGCCGTTCCAGAAACAGAACAGGACTGAACGTTGGGTGGGCAGCCGCCTCTCCCACGGGTGCAGGCTGGCTGGGGGTTGGGGGTTACCACCCGGAGCTACAGGGGCTCACCCTGAGATGGGGACCAATGTCAGACCCCTGAGCCCAAGATCTAAAGCAGCAGAACAAGGAAAACCAGGAAGGCCGGCTGGGGTGGGGCTGGCCACGGTCAGCGCCGGGTTCATGTCAGCGCCGACTTAGGGCCCAGCTTGGGCCTCCCACGTGACACACGCAGCACGCCCTGGACAGTGCCTCTTGTCCATACTTCTCATCGGCTGAGAAAATGACACAGGCCTCAGGCGACGGCGCTGTGAGTCCACACCCATCATCAAGCTTGACCCGTGAGGAGGCTGAGACGCAGAGGCCACGAAGAACTGGGCCCCAGTCACAGGGGGAGCAGGCTGAGAGAGCAGGTCCTCCTCGCCAGCACACTGAGCCGCTTGAGGGAAGGTACGTCCAGAGAGAGAATCAGGCAAGTAAGAAAACGGGGGTCCAGAAAACACACAGGTGACCCCAGAAGCCCAGCCAAAGCCATGAGGCTGTGAGACAGCAGGCTGGGATTCGAGCTGGCTGCCTTTTGTTTTACCAAAATAATTCATAGAGAAAACAAAAGCCAGCTGAGGGGGGACTGGCTGACCTTCTAAGCAGCCTTGTGGATTGTCAGGATTTCTTCACAGCTGGAGGCCACCCCGCCCCAGAAGCCTGGGCTTTGTTGAGGAGATTTCAGATAAATATCTGGAGTTTTGGTTTCTTTTGTGACAAAACCATCAGAAGATGTGGGAACAATGAACAGCCGTCTCGTGTTGCAGAAACAATCAGCGCTAGGTGGCCCAAGTCCCCACTGCTCCCCAGCACTGCGCCACGCAGCCCCCACTGAATCCCGTGAAGAGCCTGAATGGTCCCCAGGAGGGGGGGCACCCAAATATGCAAGCCTTGGAGAAACCTGTCTAAGGTCCCCTCTGGCCCTGAATATTCAAAACCTGCGCTGCCAGTATCCCTGCCAACAGCCCACCCATAGAGAAAATTATGGGAGGCAGAGGGGCAAAGAACAAGATGTAGGGGATTTCACTCATTGATATTTACAGTGACTCCCCTCCATCCCTGGCCCCCTCAATATTTAAGACATGGGGCTCGTTCAACAAGACAGAGGGCAGACCCCTACAGAGAAAAAAGGGGAAATGTGACAGGCAGCCAAATCTATCCAATGTTTCTCTTCCTTGTAAAACAGACCCTGGAAAATGTGCCCCATTGGAACAAACCTCAGACCCCAGTCCCTTGCAGGTGACTGAACTCTGGTCACTTCTGGGGCACGGGGAGGTCTGATTTCTGGGGAGGCTCTTTAAAAGGCAGTAAATGAAGGCTTCTTCTGCCTTCCCTGTGTCTCTGGACTGCAGACAAGACGGCTGGAGCCCCGCAATCACTGTGTGCCATGAGGTGACCTTGGGGTCACTCCAGGAGCCAGATTAAGAGGACACAGGGTAGGGCGTCCCCAGTGTGCAACGGGTTGAGTGCCGCTCTGTGAAGCTGTCCGCAGCCTCTGCAGCGTGGGTTCTATTCCTGGCCAGCCAGGGAGATTCCCACATGGCGCAGCAGACCTCTCCTGTCTCACTCGCTGCTCCCCTCAGCAGTGCTTTGGGTCTGTCTGCTTGTTCTGCTCCCCGCTCTGTCTCTGGTGAATTCTCTCACCCTCCCACGCCTCTGGTCTGTACCCCAGTTCTTGTATAAAGAAATAAATCTTAAAAAAAAAAAAAAAAAAAGGAGGACACAGGGTAGAGAGATGGACGCCTGATGAACTCACGGGCCATGGCATCAGACCACTGACCTCGGAGTTTCTTGCGTGCAAGCGTAGACTCTTGTGACCCCTGTTGCTTCTAGACTCTTTAATTGGCCCTTGCCGATGCTGACAGAAGGAAACGCTGCACATGCCAGCCTCAGCGGATGCTACAGCCCTGGGTTATCATTCCAGTATAGGCGATTTTTCTTTCTTTTTCAAAATTCATAATGACTACAAATATTTATATTAGGAGTAAAAGCTTTAAGATAGCAACTAACAAAATCAAAGAATTAAAAAAGCCTGAGCAAGGCAAACACCCAGGTCCACAAACACAGCGACTCTGCCTGTGGTCAGGCCTGGAACCCACCTGAGCTGTCTGACCCCATGTGGGCAAGTTTCTCCAGCGTGAACGGTGAGCCCATGGTCCCGGGTCTCGCCCCAGCAAGCAGACCAGACCCTCAGGGGAAGCAGGGCTTTTCTGGCATGGAGTTATTTTAAAAGAATCTGCGAGACTTTATATAAGGGGATCTTGAGTGACATGACAGGCGGTGTCCTCCTACCACATTTTTTTAATAGCAAACGCAGTAGAGAATTCACTTTCTCAACCCCTGGAAAGTGACAACAGTTTAAAATTGAATTCAGCTCAGTGCAGGCGACCCTAGAAGAGGCCTGAAGTGAGGCCCAACTGTGCAGCCCCGAACCAAGGTTTGGGCTTGAGGGCTTCCTGGGGCAGGGCGGTCATACCTGCTCGCCCTGGGGTGTCATGGGCCGACCTACTGTGTGCCTGGGACTGTGCCACGTCAGCATGGAGCTCAATAGGAGTCCCATTTTAACTGGGGAGAAAAGAAGTTGATGTTAAGGCTACAAGTACTTCAGGGACGTGGGGGCAAGAAGAACTCGTCCAGAGATGATTCACCCGCATGGGCCTGAAGGAGCTGGCAGATCTGGGGCTGGGCCTTAGTGAAGAGCAGGACTTAGGAATGTGAAAGTGTGTGACTGTGTGCAGAGTATGTTATGTACACATTGCACACACACACTGCCAGAAGTCAACTGGCCATTTTAGAACAAAGCTCTAGTTGTTCCTCTTAACTTTATCTCGCTGCACCGACTTTTCCGGTGCTTGTTCTCAAGTTCTACCTGCCACAGGATATTCTGAATCTGGCCTGGACATCACAAACTTCACTTCACTTCACAATTGTGGGGACCCCTCTCCTATTTCCAGGTGGGTGCAGTCCATCTAAAGTGACCACCCAGCAGTGCAGATGGGGAAGCCACACAAAGCAGTGTTGAGGAGTGGGGGCGGAAGGGAGAAGCATCTCCCCTCTCCACCCCATCTGTCCCCAGAGGGCTGCGCCAATGTGAACGTTGAGCCCACGGGTCCCGGGTCCTCGTCCCAGCAAGCAGGGCAGTTCCTCAGCCATCCTCGGAGTGGGGAATGGAGGGTAAGTGACAGTCTCCCCATGAACAAAGGACCTCAAGGTACTGCCAAAGGCCTGGTGTGCGGAAAACGGCCAGCACCACCCCAGCCAGAGGACACGCCTGACTGGTATTTCCACCGTGCCAGGGCCTGCTTCCCACTGCTCACCCAGGGTTCCCTCAGGGGTTCTGAGACTTGGGGTCCAGGGTCTGCACCTTCCTGGCTGGTGATCTTGAACAAGTCCCTGAAACTTTCTGGACCCAAAGATCCAGAAGATTAGAAGTAGATGATGCCAGAGGTTTCTTTTGGCTTAAAATTTCTGAGCTCCTTGGGGCAGAATGGCAAATCTCAGGCTGTGAAGAGAGCACAGGCCCTACCCTCTGCCCTGTCCCAGGATGACCGCACCATAGAATTCACAAGAACTAGCCCCCCTGGGAGTTGTGCTCACCCTCCAAACAAAACTAGTGGTTATATATTTTCAGCTGTGCCTTTTATGCCAATAATTCCATCATATTCCAGAATCCTGCGTGCGTGGGTGGGGGGGTGACGTCAGCCTCGCAATGCTGAGGCTCGCTGACAACAGGGAACTAACTACTGTGGAGAAAGAAGGTAAAACTGAGCCAGGACCTCAAACATAGATAACTCGTGTCCTGGTGCAGTGGGGTGAACTCATGCCCCGGGACCCACAAAAGGGCCCTGTTGGAAAGACACCCCCTGTAGGGGTCATGAGGTGAAGGCCTGCTGTCTTGGCCACAGTGAGCCTGTCCCAGAACTGCTGTTCTTGCAGGAAGAGGGTGACTGGGACACACAGAGGAGGAGGCCACACGAAGAGGGATAGGGAGACTAGAGCAAGCTACCTCCAAGCCAGGGTGCGCCAGAACAGAAATGGAGCACAGCATTCCGCACACACCCCGTCCCCGCCCCAGCCCTCAGGAGGAAACCACCCTGCCACACCTTGACCTCACCTCCAACCACAAAAAAATAGGCCCTCCTGCCACACCGTTCCTTAGAAGCTGGCGAGACCCTCCCCTCCTCCTTCTGACACAGACCCATGTTACCCAGACCCGTCCTGACCCCACCCCCCCCACCTGCCCCGGCCGCCTGACACCACCATACACAGTGTTCTGTATACAGACACTTGCGGCCTGGCCTTGGCCTCTGTGATTCAGGGGTCAGGCATCCTTTCCTGTCCAGTTAGTGCCACAAAGTGAGGGGCCCCAGACATAGAGATATTTGTGG